ATAGGGTTAAGGGTTTAGGGAGTATCGGTCATATATGGGAACCCTCAGAAAGGGACTCCCTGACGCTCCCATTTCCTCCTTGCAAGCTTTTGCTTTGTCGAAACGGTCTGGGCTCTGCACTCTTGGTTGCTAGGCCGGACCAGGGTCCCTCAGTAGCCAAACACTACTGTAGTAATTAGTCTCCATGTCACTATTCCTACTAGTACGAATAACAATTGGAACATACAAATATGAGGCTAAAGCATTTAGAAAGGCCACTGATTCCAGAGACTCACGAAGTGCGACAGGAACACGTACCAGTCCCATGCCGTCTTTAAACGCTTAGCAATGCTTGGGCAGGTACTAGGTTACTGCAAGCTCTGCAATCACGCACGTGGATACAACTCGTGGGGCTGGCACTCGTCCGCCATGGCGACCCGCAACAGGTTGCGACGAAGCTTTAGGACCGAGTACAGGAGGATGACAAGGAGGATCCCCAGAGCCAAGCTCACTGCAGCAAAAGCTTTTGCAGTGAGGGTCCACTGTGCCGGCCTCAAACTCTTGCCAGGAAAGCGGGGCTCGCGTACACTGCACACATTTCCCTTTGAAAGGTTACGAAAGCTCGTGCATACGGCTAAGGCCTGCCGAGTTGCGGATCCTTGTTGCCTGGGATGGGAAGCAGCGAACGGGATGCAACCAAACGCAGGAGGCCTGTCAATGTGCAAATTCTGGATCGTTTTCCAGGGCAGACCAAAGACTGTGTTGGGAGTGTGTTTACAAAAGGGACCATGCTGGGAGCTCAGCAAGTACCAGCCCAAGATCTTCTGGTGGCGACATTTGGGGTTTGGGCGTGCTACAAAATTGTGATGCCAGGTTCCTCTCTGGTTGCATCCTTACAAAGCGGATCCTGCTGCTGCTTTCGGGTGCGTCTTTCTGGAAGCTGCAACGCATTCTGTCAGAAGTATTGCTCAAGCAAGCATTAATGCAAACATGAGAGCGTAATGCAAAATTGACCCGCTGTTTTCGAATGGTGCGGGAACCTGTCAGCAGT